GGTTGTTAATTCGGACACCTGAGGCGCCACGTCCTGGACAGCTCCTTATTACCATATGATCTATATTAAATTAGGTCATGTGACCATCGAATTAGGGCACGTGGCACCTGTAAGCCCGTGTCTCTCTCTCATTCGTTTCCGGGATCTAGTTAGAGACACTTCTTTTATGGTACTGCTCATCTCTAGTGACTCGGATTAACTCATTGTGTCAGCTCAGTTATTATTAATTCATAGAGTTCGGTCCGCTCATTAATTCCAGTTATCAGTGACTCAATTAGTGACATTTAATTATTGTGAATATAACTTTGACAAATACAGTGAATTTGTGACCACGTGCACGTGTTCCGCTCATTTCTTGGTTCTACTCATCCCACTCCCCGTAATCCGACTCCAACTCATCCATCCGCACAATTAATTCCCCAATCCAGGCATCTCATCAAACATTCTTATTATTATTATTCTATATTATATTGGATCGAATAGATCTTTACATTTAATCCACTTTTAAAACATCCAGTGTAACGATTTCTGAAGCCTCTATTCCGCTTATCAAGTAATGTAATATTATGTCTATTTATATTTTTTTATGTACTGTAATTTATTCAACAATTGAAAAAATTAAATACTGTTCTGTACTATAAAAAAATGCATACGTGTATAGTATATATATTATATAATCTAATGTATAGAATATAATATATATTATGTTAGATATTATATATGATACAATATATAATATATAATATAATATACAGCAGATAGATTATACATATATGATTTATCCTGTCACTTTTTTAACTGTAAAAGAATGATAGTTCTGTAAAAAAATAGATATATAGGATAGTATATATGTACACGGCACATAACACACCCCTAAAAATTAATAAGAACGTAAGAAGCAAAAGAGAAACGAAGAACAAGACGAAGAGGATTCTAACGATTCCGAATAAATTATTCAACAATTAAATTCTCATTCTGAAAAACTTTGTTGAAACGATTCATTTTTTCTGTATTATGATTATCGAGATAAAAATTAATGAAAGTGAGAAACGGTAAGGTACTATTCTGGCACCCATGGAAAACAACATGCGCGCGAAGCGCGCGCCCTGTTCTAGTTGTTTATAGAAAATTCATCTTCTGTCTGAGAAAATAAATGATATTTAATCACTGACCGAACTTTTTTTGATAGTAAATGTTATGGTAATGTTGTTCATTATGGAACGTTGCCGAAAACTCAATAAACACGCCTGGGGAGTGTAGAGGAAATTCGACAACGCTGGAGCCCCAATAGTATGACACTAAGTCCTCCACGGGGAGATTCAAACCATGTATGGTAACCAGCTTAGAATTATCCGATTTCGACCATTCAAGTTTCTCTGGAATCGTCATCAAATAGGGAATTTCACAACATCTTCTTCGCATGAAAATGGAACAAAATGGAATCAACAAAATAGAAAATAAAGAAGGTATACAGTAATTTATTGGGTGCGACCAGGTACGTCGGATAATCCGGGAAAAGGTTTTGCCAGATGGCTGACCTTCTCCATTTCAGGTATTAGCCTCCATAAAAGTTCTAAGTGATCCAAGCACTTGTCACTGCCCAAAAATTTGAGGATTTTATTTGGCATTTTTCGATGATTTGGAATTATATAAATTATTCGTTCTTTCGTCAGATGATAGTCCGATAATTAAAGAGTTGTTCTACAAAAATTCAACAAAATCGGTCTAGTTCAAAGGGCATTTAAACAGTCTCCAAAAGTCCCATTTCAAGGGAAAATCATAGCTATTAATTTAATAACAAATTGATTGAAAAATGTAAAAAAAAAGTCTGAGTTCTTTTCATCGTTTACATCAAGTAATCGATGGAGATTCATAATAATTTCAATCAATTCTGATTAAATCGTATGCATATAAACTTTATGCAGTCTCTCGCATGTACTTCGTTATAAGAAATTCAAAAGCTTGTTGAGGTCTGATAAAAGTGGTTTAAAAATTTGAAAAAATTCACATTGCTTCTTCATATCTTGAACTGTCGTTCTGAGACAGGAGAAAGCGAAAATTTGAAATGTATATTCCGTGGATTCCTCTATTGTACATTCATCGTGTCCACGCCGTAATATTTCTCATCAAGTATAGGTCTTACGTAGTTCTGATTCTCTTTTTTATTGAAAAAATGTGGAAAATAACCTTTCGCAATATCTCCTAATCCAAAGACCTTCGGTAAACTGGCTAGAGCCATGTGCAAATAATTTAAACTATCTATAAATTTATTATCCCTGAAATCCATCAAGATAATGTTTGTACCGTTAATAATTGCTTTAATTTCGGTGTTGATCCGACGCCTGACATCTCTCAAAATAAATTGCGATTCATATCCTTTCGCGTTGTGAGCAATACGAACTACTTTTTTATACGCCTTACCCATTGACGTGATGTAATTGACAAATCCACGTACAGGATCCTCATCATCAAAAACATGTTCTCGAGGATTACACACACTGCATGGGCTTGCAAGATTTTCCTCAATTTTCATAATGTCGTCATCGTTCATGTCAGCACAGCAGTCACACACGGTTTGGGCTACACAAAGGGTTGGTATGTGTATATTGACGTCATCAGTTCCTTGCATCGCCTCATCTTGTCTCGTCTCAAAGTCATAGAAAACAAATGCCACGCGTTTCATTTTTGATTTCTTCTTGCTTTTCAATATAGGCATGTAGCATAGATGAGAAATATCTTCGTCCTTCTGGCACACAGAGCAATAATACTTATAGCACACGTGTTTTTTACTTTTCCGATAGTCAATTTTCACGTTGAATTTTTTACACAATTTTATGCCCTCACATACGGTTGGGTTGGTTCCGCTAAAAGATCCTGCTTTTTTATGTTGTTCGAAGCATAATTGTCCCTGGAATTCTCGATTACATTCGTTACACATTATTTTATCAACGATTGCAGTGTCGCATGGAGGATTCTTCAGACATCTGTCACAAGTTTTATCACAAACATGTCCTCGTGCACTGAAGGTACATTAAGGTAAATTTTGAATCGGCTTGTAGTGTCTGTCTTCACGGATAATACACAAAGTGTAGTGTGTATTGAGCAGATATATTCCTGCTGGTCACTTCAGGCGTCCCATCGTAAAGTACAGGGTGAACTTTTCCATTTCTCTCGAGAGAATAGACCTTGATGATACATCCTTCTTGCGCCAAGTATCATCGATATTGGGCAATTCCCTCCAAGCCACAATCATCCTCAGGGACAATGACTCTAGCCGCACGGGTCAGGCGCTGGGCTTCCTAACGTTGCATTTTACCCTTGGATTGTCGAATGTATTTCCACATCTCGTGTATTTCGCCCTTGTCAGCTCTAGCCTTTAACTTCTTTACGTATACTCTGGCCACAACAAGTGATTGGGCTAAACACAAGCCATCTTCATTTGAAATTTGAAGAACACATTTTCTACTCAGTCGTCTTTTCATTCCCTTTTCAAGAAAGTCTCCTTGACCTGCAGGGGCTTCAGCCACATGGAGTTTTATCCAAAATGTCTCCGCACAGTCGAAACCATTGGCGCTCTGTGCAATAGAGCTCACAAGATTCCACAAATCTTGAAACTCGTATCCATTAATCGCACGTGGGCTTATCCATGCGTTGTCTCTGAATATTTGAAAAATTGAATGTGACGCACATTCGATTTATTCCACGGCCACCGGCTTCTATGAAATTATTGTAGACATCTCGAAAATCTTCTTTCACCCACTCGGTGGATTGCGACCTTGAGGCACAGGGTTAATTCTAAACTCCATCACATGTGTATCGAGTTTGAAACGAGGAAGCCTCTGGCGTGACCTTCGTATTGTTCTCAGAGTTGACGGTGGGCCCTCTGCATTTCGGTCGAATTGAGCATCTGAAATTAAATTTATTTTCAATGGTAAGAATATTTTTTAGAAAAAAAAATTTATTATCATTAACATAAAATGCGATACTTACCATTGTGTTGATCTAGTAAATCTAGATTGAAGTCTTCAATGGCTTTGAGCGCCTCAGGATCATTGATCACATTTTTACCACCACTGTTTCGGCGAGAGTTAAACAAAAAAACCGATGGAGAGCCGGGATTCGGGAAAGGGTTGAACAGTTCACCAAAATAATGTCTGACACAGTGCGCGTGGGTAGAGTCACAATAAAAACTGTATTTGCCGTTAAAATACAGAACTCAGTCAAAAATATTTACAACAAAATAACCACTGTCAACTAATAATTGTGTCGAGACACGGTGGAGATTTTTCACGGTTGAGATGGTCACAAAAATAATAGATTCAACCGCGGAGAGAGTTGCATGATGCACACTGGTCACGAGGCGATTAGAGAAGAAAGCGGAAGTGACGAGATGGGACAAGTGTCGCGGCAGGTGTCGTCGGTCCCAATTAATTGGACACGGTCGGTAACCCAGGTCCGTGTCCAGGAAAGGCTGCCGCTCGTGGTCAGCGGACCAACATGCCGTGACGTGAGGCTGAAGCCTCAATATTCTCCCCCCCGTCAGCAACGTGTTGGTGACCAGGTTCTCGAGGAAGCCATGATAGAGCCTGCAACACTAAACAGAGAAGATCAACAACGTCAACAGAGACCAGCTTCAAAATCAGCTGGTAGAGTTTGGCAACGGAACCAGCTTGAAGATCGGCCGAATTAATGTCGTCGTTGCTGTCCTGATGGTCACAACTCTGGAGAGACCATCCTTCCCAGGGTTAGAGCTGTGACACGAGCTAGAAGCCACTTCGCTGGCGGGAACCTCTCATCGGAGAGCAGAACCACAGATCCGATGCGAATATCATTGGACGGATGATGCCACTTGGAGATGGACTGAAGCTGCTACAGGTATCCTGTATACCACTGCTTCCAGAAATACTGCAGCCTCTGCTGAATCCGTTGCCATCTTGAGAGCCGTCCAACGGTGAGATGGTCCAGTGAAGGTTCTGGTAGAGCTATTGGAGCTTCTCCAATCAAAAATACCCCGGAGTGAGACACAACCCGTCGTCGGGGTCTTCAGAGAGAGCCTGTAGAGGTCTGGAGTTGAGCACAGCTTCAATCTGGGTAAGCAGCGTAGAGAGTTCCTCGAACGTCAGTGTAGTATCCCGAATCGTTCGAGAGAGATGATACTTCACTGACTTTACCGCTGCTTCCCATTTTACTCCAAAATGAGAGGCCCCCGGTGGATTAAAAGACCACCGAGTACCATCTTCCAGGCAAACTGCTGAGAGACGCTGGAACTCCTTCGATCCAACAGAGAACAACCTCTTCAGCTCCTTGTCTGCACCAACGAAATTCGTTCCACAATCACTGAAGAGGTTCTTGCAACGACCTCGACGACTCACGAATCTCCGATAGGCAGCGATGAATCCATCAGCAGAATAGTCGGTGGCAGCTTCCAGATGAAGTGCTGACGTGGCCATGCAAACGAAGATCACTAACCAACCCTTTTGGGTTTTATGACCACGCCCCTTTCACGTCTTGATGGACACCGGTCCAGCGTAATCTACACCAGTGTTAGAGCAGGCACGTCCTGGAGACAGACGTGTCGGTGGAAGCTGCCCCATCAGTTGCTGAGCACGTACTCCACGTTGGCGGGCACATTCCACGCACTTGAGAATGAAGGATCTTACTGGCGCTCTTCCTCCAATAATCCAGTAAGACCTCCTGAGATGCGTCAACGTGAGTTGAGTTCCACCATGCAACGTTCGCTGATGAGAGTCTCTAATGAGAAGTTCAGCCAGCTCGGAATCTTTGGGGACGATCGCTTGTTTACTCTCTGGGTGCAGGTTAGAGAACCTTAATCTCCCGCCCACTCTATGAAGGCAGTCAGCTTGGTCAATGGATGAGACCTCCCAAGTTGTTGACCACAATAAATAATGCTGCACTCCGACTCCAGATAATGAGCCTGAGTGGCTCTGACCCAATACAGCCTAGCTGCCTCGATGCCATCAGGACTGAGTGGATCCACGAGAGTTTCACCAGGTTTCTTCCTCATCCGTGCAACAACACGTTGACAAATTGCTGTTATGCGCAGCAATTTGTAGAGAGAGGAGTACTTGGTGATGAGATCCTAGAGAGTAGAGCCCATTGAAACGGTAAAGATGGATCCGGGCTTCTCTTCCAGATTCGCTGGCATTTTCTTTCGGCCACTGAGAGGAGTCTAACTGCAGCCACTTTGGACCCGTCCACCACAGTTTATGAGCACTGAGTTGAGCCATAGTGATGCCCCGAGAACCACACTCAGCAGGATTCTCCTTACCGCTGATGTATCGCCACTTCGCTCCTGGAACCAGTTCCTGTATGCTGGCTACCCTGTTATGCACATATTCCTTCCACCGGGAGGGATGAGAGCTGATCCACGCCAGGGTAACAGCTGAGTCTGTCCACAGGAACACAGGAGCGTTATCAAGGCTGAGTTGAACACGCACATACCTTGTGAGTTTCGCCAGCATGACTGCGGTGTTGAGTTCAAGTCTCGGAATGGTGAGTTGCTTGAGAGGAGCCACCTTGGTTTTAGCAGTAGCTAAAGAGACACTCACACCATCCAAACTTGTCACCTTCAAATATACCACCGCAGCCATCGCTGTTTGCGATGCGTCTGAGAACCCGTGTATTTCCACCAGAGCATCCTTCTTCACTCCGAGCCAACGAGGAATAGAGATATTGTCGACCTGAGACCGCTCCTTACGGAATTGGGTCCACTTATCCGAGATTTGTGATGAGAGCGCATAATCCCAGTCCAGCTTCCCAACCCAGCGACGCTGTAGGAGTGCCTTTGCCCTAATCACCACAGGAGAAAGCAGACCCAGAGGATCGAACAACTGAGCTATTTCAGACAACATATTCCTCTTCGTCACCTTTGAGTTGGCCGGAAGGCGGATTGAGAACTTGAATTGGTCTGTGTTTGGATCCCACTTCAGACCAAGAATCTTCGTGATGGCATCATCTAGCAGCTTATGATCCTGAGAGACACCTTCTGGATTCAGAGATCTGAGTAGAGACGGACAATTGCTATGCCACTTTGCTAGAGGGAAACCACCAGCTAAGCAAAGATCCCACACTTGCTTGGAGACATCTAGAAGATCACTCTCCTCTTCAGCACCACCACAGATGTCATCCACGTATCTTCCACTGGTCAACGGAGAGATTGCTAGAGGAAAACGATGTCCTTCATCCGCGACCAGTTGGTTGAGAACTCTACAGGCGAAGAATGGGGCCGATTTAGTCCCGTAGGTCACAGTGGTGAGCTGGTAGGTGTTGATCTGACCTTGAGAATCCCGCCACAGAATCTGTTGAAGAGGCCAGTCCTCACGATACACCTTGATTTGACGGAACATCTTCGTGATGTCCGTCATGAAAATGTACTTGCTCCGCCTGGATGAGAGCAGCACGTCAGAGATATTCTTCTGCAGTTTGGCTCCAGTGTGTTGGATGTCATTGAGAGACACCCCTGAGCTGGTCTTACTAGAGCTGTTGAAGACTACCCTCAGCTTCGTTGTTTCACTACTTTTCCTGGGAACACCATGATGAGGAAAGTAGTACATAGGAGTTGACGGATGAGCTTGCCTCTGAGCAGAACACCGAGTGGAGACACGAGTCGACTGCTTCTCCTCAGGGACCCTCAACTCTCCTGAAGCCGAAGCCCCATGTGCCAAGGTCATCCCCTCAGATCGACAGCCGAACTTCATGCTCCCGGCATTCTCCGAACCAGTTAAGGCTGGAAAAAGCACCATGTGTCCCAGATCTTCGTTCTCCTTGAGAAAAACACTATATAGCTGAAGGGTCGGTTGATCCCTCTCCATTCTCCGGAACAGGCTGGAGAGACACGCCTTAGCCCGACTATAAGTGTCGCCCAGTTCTGTCGGAGAACGTGCAAGAGGCAGGCGAACCACATAGCGCCGTGAGCTGTCTCGTGAATAGTGCGCTGGAGAAACTCCTCACATTCTGCCTCTTCTTTCGTGAGATCACTATATTCGGCTTTTGGGACCTCCTCCTGCAGCCAGAACGAAGTGAGAAGGTCGTAGAGTTCCTCGTTGCTGACTGCAATGTGATTAGAGCTGGCCACCATTGGAATCACCGCTGAAGTAGGTCCTAGTACCACCCAACCGAAGATAGTGTGCATTGCTATAGGGGAGTCCGAAGGCCCCTTGATGATCTGTGGCTCCACAATTGATCCGGAGAAATCCGCGCCAATGAGAAGGTCAATAGGTCTTGGCTCCATGTATTTCGGATCAGCTAACTTCAGTCCGTCGAGATGGCCCCAAGCTTGAGTATCCGAGACTGAGAACGACGGCAACGATGATATGAGATGGTCAAGAATGTAGGCTTTAATCTGAAGATGTTTGTCTGAGTGCAGAGACTTCAGACAGAACTGAGAGAATTCTTTTGAAAATGACCTTGATCCACCAATACCAACGACAGGTAGCAAAGCTGGAGACTTCAACAAACCTAGCTTTACCGCAAGACTATCTGTAACAAATGATACTCAGATCCAGAATCCAACAGCATCCGAACTTCACAGCAACATCCATTCTCTGAAACGAGAGAAGCTAGCGCTGTTGCGAGAAGAACACCTGGTCTGAGCTGAGATGACGATTCATGAACTGATAATGCTACAGATGGAGAATCACTTGACAGCAACGGCCGTAGAGAACGTTCTGAAATTACCGGAGCCGCTGTCGATGAAGTCGTTGGTTGAGAAGATCACGGTTGCACTGATGAAGGCCCCGGAACAGCAGACTGTATAGGACGAGTACCAGATTGAGACCACTGACCTTGAGACTTCAACTGGTCTGGTTGAGATGTCTCCAGAGGACCATTCTGAGGGCGTGTGATGTGGATCATCGAGTTGTGATACTTGTGACACACAACGCACGTCTTCGTGGTCTCACAGGCACGAATAGAGTGCTTCCCCAAGCAGTTGAAGCAGAGGTACTTCTTTTCGACGAACTCCTTCCTCTTTTCCGGCGACAACTGCTTGAATTGGGGGCACTTGTCGATGAAATGCTCATCTTCACACATGGAGCAGGCATTGGCGGTCATGTCTGCCCATGACTGCGAACTTGACCCGCGAGCCTGTGGAACTGCACTGCCAGTTAGACATTCAGCACCTTCGCTGGCTTTGCTCTGGGTGGTTGAGAGGGCACACTCGAAGTTGGCGTCTTGGGAGCATTCAGAGGATGCAGCTCAATTCTCTCCCTAGCTCTTGCTCTGCTCAACATGAACTCCCGGAGTTCCGCGTACGTTGGAAAGGTGGTGGTGGATCCGATGTTAACTTCCCACGCCTCCAACGTCTTAACATCCACCCGGCTTGAGATGATATGCTCCAAGACGTCATCCCAGTGCTCGACAGGGCGCCCCAACGACTTCAGGGAGTTGAGAGCTTCGGTGGTGGAGTTGAGGAGAGCATTAAACTCCTTGGCCGTACGGTTGACGATCCTCGGAGTGGAGAACAACCTTTCCAGCTGGGTAGAGATGAGGAGACGTTCATTGTCATACCTCGCGATAAGCATATCCCAGGCTGGAATGAATGAGTCTTGAGCTACCGGCAGAGTTGAGATCAACTGCTTCGGCTCGCCAGCAAGACAAGTCAAGAGATAATGGAATTTCTCGACCGTAGTTGTTGCCGACGACTATCGAGAGGAAAAGATCTTTGAAGGGTGTTCACTCGGAGAAGTCCCCTGAGAAGGTAGGCAGCGAGATCGTCGGTAACTGCCTTTGAATCACCTGAGTAGATGGAACTGATGCAGCGGGTCGACGAAACGACTCCGAGAGGTTCGCGGTCTCATCAATGGCCTTGATTAGCCCTATGAACGACGTACGAGCCGTGGAGTACCGCTACAGACAGATATCGTATACCCCCTGCTTCACGTAATCGTGCTCGAGCACCTCCGCGCTATCCTTCCCAGTGAGCAGCCTCACGTGCTGGTCCTCGAATTGGCTCCAGTAATTCTCCAGAATATCCAGCTTCGACTGCAACTCCGTGACTGAGAGCTCCTTCACCGCCGCAGACAATGATTCCGTGTAGAGAGACTCAATAAACTTTGCCCTACTGGCTTGAATAAATAATCTCCCTGCGAAAGACATGCTCACCCGATAGCAAATACAAATTAAGCAAGCAGAGAAAGCACCAAAAAAAATCGTAGAGAACGCAACAGTGGAGAAAAGCACAGCCAATAGCGGAAAAAAAAATAAAATCAAGCAAAAGCAGCAGCGAATTTCAGGGAAAATCAATAGAGAAAAATAATAATAATAATTGACTTCCCTGAGAGTAGGTCAAATGGCAGCAGTGATGAGCGCAGAACTTCAGCAGGCAGCGAGAAGGACGAGGGATCTGCTCCTGAAGTGCTGCAGAAATACGTCACGGAACCCCAGGTTGAGTGCCACTGACGGATTTGCAATTTTTAGCAGCGCGCAAAAATGTCAATAGTCCGAGATGAGCACCACTGCACTGCTACGTCACGAAGGAGGAGCCGCGTGGGAGGAGTCGATGGGCGAGTCGGTGGGTGGAGCAAAGGGGGTGGAGCCGACACACAAATTCCCGCGATTTTTCACCGACACCACGCGCACTAAAGTTTCACTGAAAAACAATGTCCACTTTTCGCGAATATCCGGCTCGAAGGACCAAATGTTTCGGCCAGAGTTAAACAAAAAAACCGATGGAGAGCCGGGATTCGGGAAAGGGTTGAGCAGTTCACCAAAATAATGTCTGACACAGTGCGCATGGGTAGAGTCACAATAAAAACTGTATTTTCCGTAAAAATACAGAACTCAGTCAAAAATATTTACAACAAAATAACCACTGTCAACTAATAATTGTGTCGAGACACGGTAGAAATTTTTCACGGTTGAGATGGTCACAAAAATAATAGATTCAACCGCGGAGAGACAGTTGCACGATGCACCTTTGTCACGAGGCGATTAGAGAAGAAAGCGGAAGTAACGAGATGGGCCAAGTGTCGCGGCAGGTGTCGTCGGTCCCAATTAATTGGACACGGTCGGTAACCCAGGTCCGTGTCCAGGAGGTGGTGCCGCTCGTAGTCAGCGGACCAACATGCCGTAACGTGAGGCTGAAACCTCAACAACCACCATATTGAATATCAAAGAACTCGGGGTTAAAACTCGAAAAAATCCACATCAAAATTATCTTGAACTTCAAAATCACTCACTAAGTCAAGATTAAAATTATCAAATTATGACAAAAATTTTGCCGAATTTCGAGAGGGTTTACCAAGATCCGGAGATTTTGATGATAATAAACCAAAATTGGTTGTTGTGGACGACTTGATGCATGAATTATCAAATGGTGCAATAGTCGACTTATTCACAAAAGGCAGTCATCACAAAAATCTCAGTGTTATGTTTATATCTCAAAATTTATTCCACCACGGAAGAGGACAGCGAGATATTTCATTGAATACATATTATATTGTCGTATTCAAAAATCCTCGAGATCGTGCACAAACAGCACACTTGGCTCGTCAGATATACCCAGAGGACCCAAAATTTCTACAGGAGGCCTATTTTGACGCCACATCAGAGGCTCATGGATATTTGTTGTTTGATTTAAAATAGAAGACTCCTGAATACTGCAGATTTCGTACCAATGTATTCCCTAGCGACCCCTATCACTATGTTTATATTCCACGGAAGGATTAGAATATAAAAGGAGGAGGCTCATTGCGGAGTGTATCAGTTGTTCATGTGTAATGGCAAAGACAAGTCGCTCTGGAAGCGGCTCTGTTCGCAACTCGCTCGGAGCAAAGAATACTGCCTTATTACACGCGCTCATTCACGCTCCTCCTAGGTTACGACGAGCAATAATGCAACAAGCTAATACCGACGGTCGTGGTCGTGCGGTTAGAGTGCTAGACTCGTATGCCAATGATCCAGGTTCGCTTCTCGGCACCGGCGGTCAAAATTTATAGCGCTCTAATCTCACAGTTTCACTGCCGAGCGGTAGTCCCGTCAAAAGGACGATTGTACCAGGGCAGGTTTTTCCCTCGAATGAGGTTTTCCCTCCCTTCGGCAAATGCCGTACAGGGGGTTGAGCGGGGTGGGAAGGGAACAAATCGTAAAGACCCGAAAGGGTATACGAGAAGAAAATTACAACACGCTAATAAAGATTTGATTCGCTGCATTTGTGAGTGTGCTCTGAATTTGCTGCAAGGAAATATTCCTTTGAAAATTTGCGAAAAGTCAAAATTGTACAAATATAAAAAACTTTTGAGGAAGTTGGCTGATAAAAATCAGAGTTTATCCAGCAAAAAAAAATCATCAATCAGAAAATCGGTGCCTTTTTACCCATGTTATTGGGGCCTCTTATAAGCGCACTCATCTCAGCAGTTGTATAGGGATGGAGCATGCACGAAAAATGATACTTGTGCCAGAAGATAGTATAGAACGGCTAAAAAAGAATTCTACACACGATGCTCACCGTGCTTTAACTGAATTAGTTGAAGAAATTCAGCCGTCAGTTCAAACCCCTGGTACCGTTACAAGACGATTGGATGCTGAATTATTGGAAATTTTAAATTCGAAAAAACCCAAGGACGATCATGAAAAATGGAAACTGTATAATGACGTTCTGAGAAGGTATTTGTTTTATACAAAGCAGAGTAAAGTACCTGTGCAAGAAACAGGGACCTCCGACAAGACGGGTTCTGGCGAACGATACGATCCAAATGCTATTGTGGCTACTGTACCTGCAGTATACCAAAGAAAAGCCTCAGGTATACTTGAATATATTGACGCCGTTGACACTAGTAAAAGACTCAAGTGGGATGCAAAAGGACAAGTGACTTTGGATGGGACATCATTAACTGGCGTTAATATTGTGAATCTGATACAAGTTGTGTTCAGAGCACGAAAAACATATTCAGCTAAAGGATGGGAACATTTTGCGATGTACCTTCAAAGTCTAAACACACCTCGGCAGTTTCTGGGCAATCCTAAATTTCATCGACCCCCACCTGCACTACCAGTTATTAAACGTCGAAGAGAACCTGAAATTTCGGAGGACGAGGACTTTATAGATCAGCGTCATACAGGGAAAGGTGATACACCACGTACCTCTCTTGTACATCGTACGTGTAAAAACTTGAAAAAAGCACACATAAACCCTTCTTACAAAGTGGAGGACTCAGTACTATCATCATGGCTTCCGTTTTAAATGAAGAAAAACTGTCGAGAACATATTTTAGCCCTCCAGAGCCGGGGGCATATACGGGGGCTAGAAATATTTTGTCAAAGCACAAAAAAGAAATACCTGAAAATGAAATAAAAAACTGGCTTAATGCCCAGAATACTTATAGACTCCACAGACCCATCAGACGTAAATTTCCACGGTTACATTATATAGTGACAAACATTGATGATGTACGGGAGGCTGATTTGGTTGAGTTGAGATCACTAAAGACATACAATGATGGTATTTCATATTTACTTCTGGTCATTGACGTTTTAAGCAAGTTTGCCTGGGTTGAACCATTGAAGGACAAGTCGGTACCGCAGGTACTCGAAGGCTTTAATCGTATAATGGGAAAGAGCGGTGATCGTGTGCCTGTTTGTATACAAACTGACAAGGGAAAAGAATTTATGACTAGCAGTGTCCAAAAATTTTTCTCTGATAAAAAAATTCAATTTCGTGTTGCGCGTAATCCTGACATAAAAGCCGCAATCGTGGAACGTTTCAATCGGACATTGAAGGAGCGCATGTGGCGTTACTTTACACATAATCAAACATATAAATATATGGATGTGTTGGACCAAATTGTCGACTCTTATAACAACTCGAGACATTCATCAATAAACATGGCACCTGTGACTGTTAATATCGATAATGCTCCATATGCATGGCGTGATATACAAAATCGGTACAAGTCGGAAAAATCTCGTAAAGAAACCTTTAAATACAAAGTTGGGGACTATGTGCGCATCAGTCGAGCGAAAGGCATCTTTGAGAAAGGATATGAGACTAATTGGAGTAAAGAAATATTCCAAATAACGAAAGCAGTCCTCAAACAATCATTACCAATATACGA